CCCCAAAACCCCAAAACCCCAAAACCCCAAAACCCCAAATCAGTCTACACAACTTAAAACTCTATAAAATAAAAATGGAATTTTCCTCCCAGCCAGAGGCGGCCATTTACCAAATTTCAGAGTAAGCCACGAACAACTTTTGACCTGGACTTTGACTAGTAGGGGTTCCAGGAATGAAGGCGCTGGGTAGAAATTTGGAACGGGTTCCGCCAGGAATTTTAGGAACAAAGATTGGTCGTTATATAGCTTAATTATATAGATATGAAAAACAAGTTCAGAGTCAGAGTAGAAAGATAGAATGGATGCTTGCAAAGAGCCATTATTTTAATTGATTTTCAAAAGAATTACATGTATTCAAGCCAGAATCTGATGTAAATAAAGAGATGGTCCTCTTTCAAAAACATTTTAGTTCTGAAGAGTATCAAGATTTAAATTTGATCAAGAAAATCCTCTTTCTCAGATATTTAGAAACCAATAGCTTTCATTGGGGAGGTATCAATAAAAATAAGTGTTTTAAGAGCTTCTTCGCTGCTTTATTTCCTAATAAAGCATTAGTGCTTGAATTAAGAGGAGTCCAAGAGCCACTTGTAGACATTTCTCTATGCTTTGGAGGAATTATCAGGAATAGTTCCAGAGTTACGAAAATGATTATTATTCAGACATTTAGAATCAACCACCATCAACTTAAGAGACTAATTGCTTCTTATAGTCATGTGACAATAATGGGGCTCGCCAGTTGTAAAATTTCTGTGCCAAATGTTTTAAACTTTACAGGATGATTAAGGAATTCAAAGATTAATAAACTAGATTTAACTGGTTCAGGGAGCCTCCATTACTCTGATTGGAAGAAAAATACTGAGCAATTCAAGAATTTGATTAAAGGCTTAGCAACTTATCCAGGAATGATGATGAGTCTCAATAAAATTGACATTACTTATAGTACCTTAAAAGTCGAAGATGCAAGAAACATTCTGACAGAAAATGAGTTCGAAGATACTAAAATAATTTCTTGGGAATAAAGCTAAAACCAGTCACTATTAAACAGATTTCTGCTCTCACCTTTCTAAAGGTTATTTTATTATTATCTGTGACCCCAAAGATAGGTTTTAAAATAAAGTTTACAAGATAAGTTTAAATAAGAATGTTATGCAAATAAGATTAAACTAATTCATTCTTTCAATATGTGAAACAAGCCCTGGGGTTTTGGGGTTTTGGGGTTTTGGGGTTTTGGGG